GCTGTTTCCGCAACTCGACACCCAGTGCCTATTTTGCGTGGGGATTGGCATCAGTCCTGCCATCCCAGCTCCTCCAGAAAGCTCAGCAGTCCCCGAATGTTGCTGCAGGCTCTAATATTGTCTTCGGGCTTCCCATTAGAGAAGTCCTTTGTCTTGCAACGCCCTTGCACACCAGTAGAACATGAGCGCTCGTCTCCTCGTCCTCCAAGCAGGCTCTGCACAGAGGGCTGTCAGAAATACCTATATTACAAAGGTGTGTGTTGAAGTAGCCGTGACCCGTGAGTATAGCCACGATTTGTTTTAGGGCTTGTCTAGGTAGTCTGATTAACTAGCGTGTTAGCTGCAGGTTTACCTTGGGAACAGCTTCCCTAGCTTGCCTGCAGTCCGTGAGTTTTGCCCAGTATTCATCGTGTTGTCGTTGACAGCGCTCCCTTATCCAGGTTCGCAGCTGGTGATAGGGTATGGGTACAATTGGCTCGGGACCAATGGCCGCCCTGCTGGAACCCTGGCTAAGTAGTCCGCCGCATCGTTACCCCTTGAGCCGCTGTGTCCTTTAATCCACTGTAAAGTCAATCTATTGTCGTTACCAATATTAGTCTCCAGACGGGTGCTCTAATTCGAGAGGAAAATCCATCCTTCCTACCTCCCTAAAGTTGGAAATTACTTATAATTTTAGGTACCTACCAATTGTGTATGACATTTCAGAACATATTACTACCTATTTGCAGTGAAAAGGGGTTGATGATTTATCAATCTTATTTGCAATACGCAGCGGTTCCCTTATTTTTTTCTTTGAATGTGTATGCTGTTGGTCGCAGGTGACCTTTACAGTGTCACCGGGTTTGGAGATGGTGTGATCCTAAGGGGACCTCAAGCCGAGAATTGGATAGTGACTCTAGAGGTATTCCAGGCAGATGGCATCTCCCCAATGGTGGAGTCTCCTCTCCGTCTGGAGCCTCTAGACCACTCGAACCTGAGGGGGTCGGCTCAAACAGAGGGCGTCTCTAAGACTCGGATCTCGGCTCTAGTTAGTCGTTGTCGTGGAGGCGGATAAAAATGCCCAGATATGTACCTGTACCTGGTATAGCGTGTTTTGTGAAGACCGGGTCTTCGCATTCTTATCCTAGCTCTATTCATGTATACTACCAGTTTACTTTGAGTTGGCCATTGATGACCGTACCGAAATATGTCACAGGCCATTCATAGGCACATCGACTTGTACCGTTGACCAATAGGGTAGATTGATAGGGTCTGTCTAAGAGCGCGGTGTGGTAAGGCGGGGATTTGTCTTTTTTTTTTTGAGTGTGTGCGCTGTTGGTCGCAGATGACCTTTACAGCGTCACCGGGTTTGAGGACGGCGAGATCCTAAGAGGACCTCAAGCTGAGAATTAGCGAGTGCCTCTAGAGGTATTCCAGGCGGATGGAATTACCCCACGGGGGGAGTCTGCTCTTCGTCTGGAGCCTCTAGACCACTCGAACCTGAGGGGGTCGGCTCAAATAGAGGGCGTATCTGAGACTCGGACTTCGACTCTAGTTTGCCGTTGTCGTGGGCGGCGGGGGAAAACGCCCAGGTATGCTACCTGTACCTGGTAAAGCGAGTCGTGTGTAGACCGGGTCTTCGCACTTTATCCTACGGATGCGCTGTCTGCCTAATGCTAAGCTAGTGTGCAAGTATGCTAGCTGTGTAGTGTTGGTGTTTGTGGCCTGTGTAGGTGGAGTCGGAGGCGCGGGTGAGGCGGGGAGTGTGAACGCGTACCTAATACATCAAGAATTCATAAGCATTGTTGAGTTAATGGAAACGCAATGGAAACATAATAACGCTACGCATCTTTTCATAACACCCACCTAATTATCTGTGAATCTAATTTACATGTTAACTTCACAAAGCTCCCACTCGTAGTATGAATGTACTCACTTACCTCCTACATGTTGGTGTTATAACGTATTGTACTACCTTACCTTACCGTCTGCTAAAGGATGATTCTCACTAAATCGTGGTAGCGATAGGAGCGAGACCGTGTTCTCACCTACTTTGAAGCTTATTTAGCTTTTGACGAATTCATAACTGAGTGTATCTACTTGGGTTATCCGTCTCATTTCCTCCTCGCTGAAATTGTAATTTTTCACACAACATAAAATATTCATTTTTACAAGCTTTTATTTAACTTGCTATGTATGTTTGTTACGGTCAAATCTTTACAAGCTTTTATTTAACTTGCTATGTATGTTTGTTACGGTCAAATCTTACAACTCAATTTTAAAGCACTTGCTCTCAACCGATTAAGCTGAAATTTGATATGCTCGTTCAGTTCGGATGACAATGCATGATTAACAGTGTGACGTCATTCTAAATCCAATATGGCGGCATACCCAAAATGGCGGACCAATCATTTTTAATGCATTCCAATATGGGTATCAAATTAAAGGGCTTGCTGAGAGTAACTCGAAAAAAATGTGACGTCACTCTCAATCCAATATGGCGCACTTCTATTTAGAAACAGATATCTTTAACTAATATACTTGAAATTTTCTTTTTTTCTTTTTAGCGCATTTGAATAAAAGCTAGTTTTTAAAAGGGTTTTTTTTACCTTAATTTTATTTAATATAAGTACAATATTTTGTAAAATAAATGTGAAACTATCTATGTATTTATCGAATTTTTGTTTTGTTCATCACACATTACTTTGCTTGAAACAGTAGAATTATGACAGCAATAACAGACGTGGGACAACAAAACACAAAACCCAAGTTGACTCACCCACCTACGTTGTCCGAATTCCGGTGTACTTGTAATCTTTTCGAAGCGTGAATTTGATATACTTCAATCTATTACAAATCGGCCACACCTTTGCCGCTATAAGTAAATGATCAATAGGAACATGCCGCGCGATGAGAACAAAATGCACTAACACGTAAGAAGCATGCCACCAAGCGAAGCGCCGAGGCAAGATTAGTTGGCCCAACCCAGTAAAACAGGCACTTAATTTCACTCTGTTTATTTATAGTAGGGGAGCCCAAGCCGGGATTTTTGTATTTACTCGAGCGCGGCAGAATAACTTATGGGGAGCAACCTTGCACCTAGTTAAGTCCTACTCCCACCATACCTGAACCCTCTATGTAGGGCCGAACGTACGTACGAACTAGGGCAGCAAAAACAAATTTTCAACAAATGGCCATGACTTTTGGGTTTGCCAGACATTGAGAAGGGATGTTACGTGAACCCTCTAGTAGCTTATATTCAAAAGACTGGCGATTCGGGCGCGACCAAAAGTCATGACCGTTCGTTGAAATTTTGTTTTTGCTGCCCTAGACGTTCGGCCCTACATAGAGGGCTCAGGTATGGTGGGAGTACTTAAGTAGGTGCAAGGTTGCTCCCCATATGTTATTCTGCCGCGCTCGAGTAAATCCAAAAATTCCCGCTTGGGCTCCCCTACTATTACTTGTTGTCACAAGCGCTAGTGAGTTGTGACTAATCAAAATTACATTTGATAACACTGTTCAATATACTGAATAAAAGACGTATACTTTTCAGTATTTTCTTGTATTTTGTTTAACATAGGTTTTAAAATTATAATAAATCAAATATCACTATGACAACGTATGTATCAAAAAAGCTACCATAAAGTAAAAAAGGAGGTTGTGGTCGAGGTTGTATTCAGGTTCGTAACATGCTCCCCTTTTTTTTTAAAGTGGGACAACCTTTTTTAGGGGTCGCGTCAAGATCCCACTTCTGACACCACTTTGTTCAATAAACTGAATAAAAGACGTATACTTTTCAGTATTTTCTTGTATTTTGTTTAACATAGGTTTTAAAATTATAATAAATCAAATATCACTATGACAACGTATGTATCAAAAAAGCTACCATAAAGTAAAAAAGGAGGTTGTGGTCGAGGTTGTATTCAGGTTCGTAACAAACACCTCATATTGAAGTGTTAAGTGTAACGCATTTAATGAAATGAAGGTTGAACAACATCTCGCTGTCTGGGTGCAGCACGGTCTAGTGAGAACTAGCCTTTATCCTGTACACCCACGCTGTATGCCCGAGGATAGGAAAAAGTTTTTTCTTTATTAATCACCTAATGCTCCTTGTGTTAGTTGGTGAAACTTCTCGGACCAAAAGACTGTTTTGATCAACGTTTATTTCGATAATCACAACGGAATTCGGTGAATTGGCCGCTTCTAGAGTTTTCACGGTTTGCGATTGCAATAAGTATTTTATTTATGTTTTTATTTATTTTTTAAGCATTTAAGTGCTAGATGTTTAAATCTAAAGAGAAGTTTACTAGAAAAAAATCCACGCGGACCAGGCAGCGGACGGGACTCGAATCCGCACCCTTCGCAATCCGGGCGAATGCACTGACCATTATGCTACCACGGCCGTATTGGCCGCGTCGAAATTTTCCTAGCCTTAAGCTGCAAGGCAGCGCCATCTCTTCGCATTGTAGGTAACCCACAATGTCAAATGAATACTTTTTCAAGTATTAAACATTTGAAAGAAGAAATAGCAATTAAAGTTATGTTTTTGTTTAGACTCAAATTTATAAATTTGTACGCCGGGTTTCATGGTGTCGCCAACTCGAGAGGTTCTCCCGGGTTCGAAAATCCCGGTAGGGGCATATGTTTGTGTGATGAATAGGAGCATTTGTACTCCAGTCATAGATATTTAATATGTATTTATATATAAATCTACTTATATATGTACAGTACATGTATAGTATCCGTTACCCTAGCATCCCATAACACAAGCATTACAGTGCTTACTTTGGAGGCTTGGCTAGTTGGTGTGAGTGTTGGAAATATTTTTTTATTATTATTATTTATTAAAGTAAGCACTGTAAGGCCTGGTATACTGAGGTAACGGATAGAATACCTAATACTGTTTCAAATACGTATATTGACTGTTAAAATGTCTTTATGAATGATTTCAGAATTAAAATTATCAAATTCCGTACCTATAATAACTATTTGCATAATAGCCGCGTTATTTTTGTTCACAGAACTAAAAGAGGCTTTGCAGACGACAAGGTCGCAAGAGATTAGAATACCTTTTGGAGTGGGCGTTGCTGGCTTAGCGGCGCAAACCAAACACCCCATCAATATCAGGAACGCTTACGCAGATCCTAGGTAAGGCTGATGACGTCATATGCTTTGTATAATCCTACTAATATAACAAACTAATAGAGGTCGTCAAAGGTAATTGTGGGTCATCCTTAAAAGATAGACATATTAGACACATTATCCGATCCGATATCGGAGCAAGTAAAATGTATGAAATATGTACCTGTCTTTCGCATTATATCACCGTCATATCGGCGGCATCGTCAGACGCTCGTGAGCAAATGGACTGTAATGTTTGTTTTACTGCCTTCCTAATTAAGAATGCAGAAAGTGGCGTTTTTTCCAGAAATGAGTTAATTATGGATCTGGAAAACCAAAAATTCTTTAAAGTGCAATATTCCCGAACGTGTAGCTGTTCACTTTAAAACAAAATAGTAGCAAACTATGGGATAATTTTTGAAGTGAAAACTTCTTTAGCGGCGTTGTACACTTTTTTTGTATGGGTAAAAAATGATAAGCTCGCGTCAGGTTAAACACGTGGGCTGATCGCATCATGACACACAATAAAATTGAAAAGGTTGTTGACTTTCAATATATTGGACGAAACATAGTAATATGTTATTTTACCGTGTTATAATAATAAGTCTCTATCTAGGACGTCCACGTCGCAGCTTTATTGCGAAGAAAATGCATTGTTTTTACAATAGATGTCGCTAGGTGCGCTTAAATGTGATTCATGTAAGTTGATTTCTTTACAATAGATGTCGCTAAGTGCGTTTAAACGTGATTCATGCAAGTTGATTTTTCTGAGAGATAAACTTTTTTAATGTAATATAAATTGTCATGTTTGTGTACGATAGCGCAATAAATAAATATTGTATTCTACCATATACATGATAGTACTTTTATACTGATAATAATTAAAGCAATTCGTGCAAAATTATTCCGTAACCATTCTAAAATATCAAAAATGCACAACGTTAATATTCAAATTTTCACTTCTGCCGGCACTCCCGGAGTGCAACCCGTAGTTTTTTTTAAAGTCTATCATCCGTATTAACGCTAGTGTGGGATTACACTAAAACTAATCAAGTCATTTTAGTTGATTTTACGGACAGATCAAATAAAAGGACGAGTTATTCTACCTTATCCCTCCATCGTTGCTCGGCTGACATATTAGGCTTAGTGTCGCCGCACACGGGCCACCGACCACAACCACAAAACGCCGCCACCGGCATATTTCTTGTAGTTTTCATATATTTTATATGGACTCGCCATACACGGTACGCCGGTGGCCGCCACACGCTACAAATCGTCGTTGCTCGCTTCTTGTGGCCCGCACCGGCCACTTAATGCGCCGATACAAAACGCCGACACACGTCACTCGCGCAATTCCCCACCCCTCTCTCCCTTACCTTAGTCGGCCGCTGTCGCGCGCTTCAGCCTCTTTAAGTTGCCGCTGTCGCACGCTTCAGCCATTTTAAGTAGCCGCTTCCAGCTTCTCGTGGCGGCGTTTGTGGCTGTGGCGTGTGGCTCGTGTGCGGCGACACCAAGTTTTTGAAGTGAAACTTCTTTACGCACGCTTGTCTTGGGGGGGTTAGCTGGAGAATGCGGTACAAGGTTACGAAAAGTGAGTTCGGGCGAGGCGAACGGGAGTTGAGTGAGGGATATAAGCAAGAGAAAGCAGTGCGCGCGCACAGTTTCTTTCTCTCTCTTTCTTATAGCTAGTTAAAAAAAAAATGTGTGCGTGTACTAGTTTACACACGTAAGAAGTGAAACTTCTTTATGGCCTTATTTTTCGAAAAATGATCTACATGAATATACATATATAATATAATATCTACATCATAAATGATCGCTGAGCATGAATCGCTGAGCGAGTATCGCTGAGCGAGTATCGCTGAGCGAGTATCGCTGAGCGAGTAACGCTATGCGAGTTTGGCTGAGCGAGTCTTATCCTTAATAACTATTGTCACTCAGCTACAAACGAGTAGAGAGAATTCTCGCCGGCGACAGTGTGATCATTCAGCTATCAACTATTAATATAAAAAAAGATGGCGCGTAACGGAAAAATGTGACGCGTAACCGAAAAAATGTGACTGTAAATTTTTTTCCAACGCCGATAAAGAAGTTTCACTTCAAAAATATGTATGTACACATACATATATTTAATCATACAGATGGAGCGAAAGAAGTTCCACTTCAGTTGTGTGGTCATAAGCACACTCGTTTTTACCATCTGTACCTACTATTTATTTGATCTGATATTTTAACATGGAATTTTCCAGCTATGATTTATTTAGTAACTAGCTTTTGCCCGCGGCTTTGCTCGCGTCAATGTTGATTTTGTGAACTAATTCTAATTGTGAAACAATTTTATCCGCCTTCTGGGGAAGGCGGAGGTTACACAATTGCTCTCTCAAATTGAATATAGTTTTCCCATTTTCGCAACCTTTTTTCATTGGTGCTCCGTCCCATTGGTCGTATCGTTTGTATTATAATACGCCTATCCATCCTCGATAAATTTTCTCACCCATCCTAAAACTGGTCATGCTGAACGTTGCTTAACGTCCACCACTAGTGTTATTAAACTCCTTCAAAAGTCATTTATTCAGTTTAGGCTTTTACAAGCACATCATCATCATTATCAGCCTATTAATGTCCCCACTGCTGGGGCACAGGCCTTCCCTATGGATGGAATAGGAAGATTGGGCCATGACCCCCCACGCGGGCCCAGTGCGGAATGGTGGGTGCTAACGACTGCAGATGTAGCCGGGACAAACGGCTTAACATGCCTTCCGAAGCACGGAGGAGCTCGAGATAGTAATTTTTGGTCACCCATCCAATGACCGACAACTGCGAAAGTTACTTAAGTTCATCGATCGCAGCCGAACGCGCTAACCACTTGCGCCATCGAGTACCTCACACAAGTACATGTGAAAGTCGAAAACCACGCCATCGGTTCGAAAAACTACGGCGGGAGACCTTGTACTGAGAAGAACCGGCAAGAAACTCAGCAAGGGCTGCTTTTTTCTCCCTGTTTTGTTTCATACAGTGTCGTTAATTTGAATGTTGACATCAAACTTGTAAACACGTGTTGAGGTCAACTTTCATCACATAACAAAATTCAAAAAAATTCAAAATTCAATATCGTTTATTCAGTCTAGGCTGTTACAAGCACTTGTGAATGTCGAAAAGCTACGCCATCGGTTCGCAAATCTACGGCGGGAGACCTTGTACTGAGAAGAACCGGCAAGAAACTCAGCAAGGGCTGTTTTTTTCTCCCTGTATTATATACAGAGTCGTCAATTTGAAAAATGAGTTCAATATGAGATAACCCATGAAGTCACTTTCCATTACAAATGTAAATGATAAAACAATTATGACTATAAAATAAAAAATATAAAAAACAGATTTAAAAATGAAAAAAGTTTAGGAATGCCGTGTCCCACTGTTTAGGCATAAAAACAAATGTACCATTAAAGTTAAATACAACGATTAATAGTACCCAATGTAGCAAGAGCAGACTCATCTCCGCTGGCAGCACCCGTTCACGAGCATGACGCATGAACCAGCCATCGCTTCGCTCAACCATTTTTTAGGGAACGTAACGACCCGCCTCACACGAGTATCCATCACATCACATGAATAATAAAGAGAATGACACCAATGAAAGCAATATTGGTTCATATATGGGCATAGCAGATTTCCGGATTACCGACGCACCCTCTGGGGAAATAACGACTAACGTACTATGTTATGTAGTGTTTATGTTAGAATGCTTTTATGTTACATCTGGCCCGTAGTCACCTACGGCTGCGAAGCATGGACCTTAAAAGAGGACACTGTGAGACGTGTCGAGGCATTTGAGATGTGGTGTTATCGTCGTATGCTCCGTATCAGCTGGACTGAAAAAGTCAGGAATGAAACCGTACTCCAGCGTGTCGAAATGACTCGGAAACTCATGCAAACCATCAAGAAGCGCAAAATAGAATACCTCGGTCACGTGCTTAGACACGACAGGTACAAGCTGCTCCAACTCATAATGATGGGCAAGGTTGAGGGTAAAAGGCGCGTGGGACGCAGGAAGAAGTCCTGGCTACGAAATATCAGGGAGTGGACGGGGATCAGTTCCGTCGAGCAATTGTTTCGCCTCGCCATAGATAAGGAGAAGTACAAAAGTTAGCGGCCAACCTTCAATAATGAAGAGGCACTTAAAGAAGAATGTTAGCAAAATGGCTAGGGTTTGCCATCTCTAAAAATCAGAAATATACATATAATGCGATTCAACTAACAATAGGACCGACTGGGCGCCATATTGTGATGTCATATCTGTCAATTCAAATCAAATAGGTAGAGTGAGCAAAAAAAGAAGTTTTTATTTAATAAAACTTATTTACTAAGATTAGATGAGAAAAAGCATCAATTTTTTTAATAACATTTATTTACTAAGATTGAGAAAAGAAAACACCGATTTATTATAATATTTATTTATTAAGACTGTGAGAAAAAGCATTAATCAGAATCTAGCTCTTCTATTCCGCTCATCTCTGCATTACCACCGAAGTAGTTATGAATAATCATGTACTATTACTAGGTCACATACGAACATGCATTCTTTATGTAAACGAAAGTTTGAAATCGAGTTTCTGAACGCAACTTAAAGTGACATTTGGTTGACGATTTAGGTTATCAACCAACCATTCATGGTCAAAGCTCAATAAGTGAAAACATCAACCGATATTAATTTATTGTCAATAGTTGTTATTGTTTGTTTACAAATGTTTGGTTTTTATTCTTGAATTAGCAGAGTGCTAATAAAGGGTTCCAAGTTTTATTTTGCATACCGTACTTTTCAAGCGACATTTGACAGATAGAGGTCATTGGCTTTCCTATTCTTATTTGAATCGCAGTATATATAACTAGCAAACCAGTGAACCAAATGTTCACCAAAACTTGATTTAAAAAAAAAATGTATTTAATTAATTGAGAACTTCGGAGATTTTGTGTGGTTTCGTTTGAAATTCGTGATTTCTCGAAAACTGGAAGTGCTACGTTACTCAGAT